ATGGCTATATAAAAGCCAGTGAGTTGGACCACCTTAAATGGATGCATACAGACATAAGGCTCCATAAGGCAAAGAAAAAGAAAAAAGAAAGAAAGGGAAGCCAGGGCCAGGGGACACAGGTCGGTAGTAGAACAATCAGTTAGCATGCACAGGCCCTGGGTTCAAGCCCCAGCATGGCATACAACAACAAAAACAAAGAATCTGGCAGACACGCCTGTAATCTCAGATCCTGGGAGGCTGAGCCAGATCCTGTGTGTAATTAAGACCAGCTTGGACTACACAGCAAGACGCTGTTTGAAACCAAACAAAGGGGGCTGGAGAGGGTTCAGTAGAGTGCTTACTGCTCTCCCACAAGCCCTAAGTTTGGTTCCCAGCCCACACATTAGATGGTTACTAACTGTAACTCCAGTTCCAGGGGAGGGGAGGGGAGGGAGAGGAGGAGATGGAGAGGGAGAGACCTAGAGAACTCAGGAACAAGGACAAAGTACTCCAACTCCCTCTCCAAGTCAGTTCTATCCCTTATCTTACAAGATGGCAGGAGAGAGCCAACTTCAGGGTGTCTTCTTTTGGCTACCACATGCACACTAAGACATATATGCACAAATAAACACACATGCATGAGGGCACACGCACACACACACACACACACTAAAAAAAAAAAAAATCAGCCATTTGGTGGCGCACGCCTGTAATTCCAGCACTTGGCAGGAAGAGGCAGGCCAATCTCTATGAATTCATGGCTGGCCTGGTCTACAAAATGAGTTCCAGGACAGCTGGGGCTGTTACACAGAGAAACCTTGCCTCCAAAACAAACAACCCCCCTACCCCCCCAAAAAAAACCCCAAATCAAACAAAAATATTCTAAAACAAAGAAACAAAGCAAAACCTATGAGGCAGGTCTGGAGACATAGCTCAGTTGGTAGAGCACATGCTTAGCATGTGCAAGGCCCTGGGCTCAGTCCCTAGCACCAAATAAACCCATCACGACGACTTTCTGATTCAGGTCAGGTGGTGCACACCTGTCATGTCAGCTACCCAGGAAGAAGAGGTAGGGCAATCAAAGGTTCAAAGCCTGCCTAGGAAACATACAGAGCCCTTATCTCAAGACAGAAATTTACCTTGGGAGGCAGAGGGTGGCAGATCTCTGTGAGTTTGAGGCTACCCTGCTACACAGAGTTTTAGAATAGCCTGGGCTACATAGTCAGTCCCTGTCCAAAATAAAACCAAAGAAAAACAAGAGGCTGGGGACATAACTCTGTACGCGAACATCTCCCTGGCACGTATAAAGTCCCAGGTTCAATGTTTAATACTGTGGCCCCAACCCTCTGCCTCCCCCACCCCCCAAAAAAGATACATTTTCTGAAACTGAAAGATCCTGAGCTGCAAATATTTGTCCCCTGGATGGTAGAAACTGATAGGGGACGTCCTTCTGTATCTATGTTTCTCTTACTGGTTGATGAATAAAACACTGATTGGCCAATAGAGGCAGGAAGTCAGGCCGGACATGGAGAGGAGGAGAATTCTGGGAGAGGAGGCAGAGAGAAGCCACCAGAGGGACGCCATGTAGAGATCGGGAAGATAGGACTTGCCAGGTGTTCTCTGGTAAGATAAGGCCATGTAGAAATCCATAAAGGTCGGGCGTTGGTGCACGCCTTTAATCCCAGCACTGGGAGGCAGAGCAGGTGGATTTATTGGCCTTCTACTAGGTGAAAAGGAAGCAATCCTCCAGGGTTGGTTCCCACAGTAGACAGATACACTCAGGACAGGACAGCCCCGACAGAGGACGGGTAGTCTGGGACAGAGCAGGGGGGCATAAAATGGGAAGAGAACCCTGGGTGAAGTGAGGCAGAGGGTGGCCCAGCGGGGCTGGGCAGGCCACTCACCTGTCATGATTCCCACATAGCAGTAGCTGTAGCTGAGTGTCTCCATCAAAGAGGGGACATCGGGCAGGAGGCCCAGGGTAGGCTCCTTGCTGAAGCCGGAGGCTATTTCCTTTCTCTGAGCCAGATGCAGGTCCTGGACCTCACTGGCCAGACTCACCAACTGCGGGAAGAGAGAGGGAGGCATAAGATCAGGCCATCTTCACACTAATTCATTTCAGCCCATAGCTAGGGATGAGGTACCACCTCATGGATGGCACTACACACGCAGAGTGGTCCAAGGAACCGCTAACTGGTGGCCATCCCCAGGGCTCAGTACTTACTAGACCTTCTTCTCTCTCCCTCTCTGTTTTCTCTTTCTGCTTTCATCCAATTCCACAGCATGCCTGCCCGCCTGCCTTCATTCCTGTACTAGGGCTCGGACACAGGGTCTTGCATATGCTACTCAAGTGTTCTAACACCGAGCTACATCTCAGGTCCCTCTCCTCCCTTTAAGTCTTAAAACCAGGTCATGCTAAGCTGTTTAACCTGGCCTTGCTTCCTGGAGGGCTGAGACTATATACCTGCATTACTAGGCCAAGCTGTTCCACTCTTATTTATTTTTTTATGTGCACTGGTGTTTTGCCATAGGTGTTGGGTCCCCTGGAACTGGAGTTCCACACAGTTGTGAGCTGCCAGGTGGGTGCTGGGAATTGAACCCTGGTCCTCTGGAAGAGTAGTCAGTGCTCTTGACCACTGAGCCATCTCTCCATCCCCAAACTTGGTCCTTTCTGACTCTACTGGGTAGGGGATGAGGATGTCCCAACTGCCCTTCTAGATATACTCTACATGTATTAGCCACAGACAAAACTCCTATGGCCACAACTGTGTTCTCCTGCTTCCTGCTAGGCTCGGTGGACAGAGCGCCAGCAGTCAGAGAGAGGCAAGAGAGTGAAACAGGGCTTCCCCTACATGATGGTTTCAAGGGGGAGGAAGGGGCTCTAAAAAACACTTTTGCCTTCCAGGCTCCACAACATATAATTCTTTCCCTGACCTCGCTACTGGTCCAAGTTTGTTTGACAACTGTTTCCCCTTCACCAAGCCACTGTCAAAAAAAAATGAAAAAAGTCTCCTCAAACTATCCTCAAAGCAACAAGTCCCAAGGTGACGCTGAATCACCTGCCTACAGCTCACAGTGTATATTAAGCTGCTTTCATAGTCATCTAGACTTGTTTTTTTTTTCTTTTTTTCCAGACAGAGTCTTACATAATCCAAACTATTCTCAAACTCTCTCTGTAGCTAAGGATGATCCTGAACTCCTTCTCCTCTTGCCTTCACCCGAGTGCTGGGATACAGGTGTGCACCAACACACTAGCTTTTTTGTCTTTCATATGTGTTTTTATTTCTGAGTCTCTGGGCAGCTGAGGTCAGAAGAGGGTGTCATATCTCTTAGAGCTGGTATTACTGTTGTTTGAGAGCTTCTCCATCTGGGTGCCAGGATCTGAACTCAGGTCCTCTGGAAGAGCAGCACTCTCAACCATGGAGCTCTCTTTTCCAACCTGTTTGTTTTTCTTTTTGAGGGGAGGAGGGTGTTTTAATTTTTGGAGACAGTTCGCTCTAAATAGCCCTGGCTATCCTGGAATTTTTTATGTATACTAGCTGGCCTCAACTCAGAGCTCTGCCTGTCTCTGCCTCCCTGGGTTAAAGGCGCATGTGCCATCATGCTTAGCTTGGGTTTGGTTTTTAAAAGGCTGGGATTACATCCATGAGCCACCACACTTGACTTTGATAAAAGGATCCTATCTCCCCTCATTCCATTCTACTTATCATCAAAGAGGCAAATTTGTTATATCCCGTCTCCTGGCCAACAAACCAAAAACAAATGAACAAAATGAAAAACTTTCTCCCTGAGGGATCTCGGTCCCATGTAGGAGTAAGTTCCATATTCTTCATAGCCAACAAAGCCCTTTGTGGCCTGGCTTCTGCAGCCCATTCAACTACACGTTATTCAGAAAGTGAACAAACAGCAAGCAGCCGTCTGCAGCATGTGCAGGTCCACACACATCCCGAAAGGCTCTTCTTCCAGCTCACAGTTGACCATTGCCAACTGTTGGTTTTTGTCATAAGTTTAAAGGACTCTGGAGAAACCAGTTCTCAGCCTGGCAGGACTGTCCAGGCCTATGTTGCTGGAGCCCAGACCACAACAAGAGCTTACCACTGTTGTGGTCTGGGCTAGGAATTGAGGATCAGTCTCTCTTTGCCCTCTTCCTAGGTGATTAAGAGTCAGACTTGCCAGGTGGTGGTGGCACACTCCTTTAATCCCAGCACCCAGGAGGCAGGAGTTCGAGGCCAGCATGGTCTACATATCCAGGACAGCCAGGACTACACAGAGAAACCCAGTCTCAAAAAACCAAGGGAAAAAAAAAAAAATGATGTCCAAAGTTTCTTTGAGGCCAAGACAGGTTACTACAAGAGACTCCTTCTCAAGAACAAAACAACAAAATGAGACCTGGTAGTCCCCACTGTGCCCTTGGGCCAGATACCTTCTTCTCTCCACAGTTATATTTCCTCCTCCTCCTCGGAGGACGGTTTGCTATAGACTCGAGAAGAGCATGTTGGCAAAGCGTGCTGGCAGACACATTCCAGGTGTGCCAAGTGGCTTGTGATGGAGCACCTGGGATATCTCCTTACCCTGGAATGAGTGGAGAGGTGAAGGCCTTCTCCAGAGTATGTGAGAGGTAAAGGTCCAAGTTCAGGGTTTGTGAAAGATTTAAAAAAACAAACAAACAAAAAAAAACAAAGCCCTGTGAGAAAGTCTGGTTGGGGAGGACAGAGCAAGGAGGCTATCTGGCTCTCAGACAGAAAAAGGGAGTAGTGTTTCCCAAGTCTTACCTTCAGTGTCAACAGCAGCTGGACAGCATTGGTGAAGGGCGTGGGGGTGGGTAGGCCCAGCAGGCTGAGGGCTCGGAAGAAGAGGAGATAGGAGAAGGTCCATGCAAGAGCCAGGGCGTGACAGGAGCTAGGGCAGAGGTGGGAAGTTACAGTGTTGTGTATGGGGACCTTAGACTGATTCCTTCTCCTGAGTGTGACTTTATTCCACCCCCCCCTCCATTCAGACAGAAAAGAGCAGGGAGAGAGGACGGGTGGATGGCAGGCAGAGACAGAAGAGGCACAGCCAGAGAGAAGAAAAGAATGAGGAGGGCTAAGAGAAAAGCTTTGTGGTGAAGAAGACAGCTAAGTCCTCTGCAAGATCCAGAGCTCAAGACGGGGTTAGGAATGACTGGCTTGTGGATATTGAGGGCTGTACCAAATAGGCGGGGACAAGAAGGTAGAGAACAAGGTAGGAGAGGAAAAAAAAAAAAAAAACGTCAAGGCGTAGAGAAACACGAGATGAACAAGAGGCGGCAAAAGACTGACAGAGAAGAAATAGAAGACCCAAAGAGGAAACAGGTTGCTGTGTCTCTGCATCCTCTTTTCTTTCGTTCTCACCAGGGCTGGGCCTGAATGAGGGCCCAGGTTCCCAAGATGGTTATCAGAGAATGCAAAGCATGGGGACCACAGGTGAATAGGGTGAGCCCCAGGCCCACGGCTGCTGCCCCCCATCTCTTCAATCCAGGTCCTGCCTTGAAAAGGTAAAAAAAAAAAAAAAAAAGTATAACAAACAAGCATAGAACCTTCTTCAGGGATGAGCCCCACCTCGGCTCCCTCACCCTACTTCTCCACGGGGCGTGCAACCTGACTCACCAGCTTTCTTAAAGAGGAAGCCGACAGGGATGGAGATAAGAAGGACCATTAGGTACGTCCATTCTTCGGGTGTCATGGTCTGGGGGAGGAAGGAAGGAAGGGCTCACAGTAAGAACCAGTATTGCAGTC